CCGACGTCAAAGGGCTCGGCGTTTCGGGCAGGCGACACGCAGGTGAAGACGGGACTTCGGAAACTGTTAAACAACGTGGCGTTGGAGTTTTGGGCACGACCAAGGATCGCACGACAGCACACGTGGGGCTCAGGCACGGAGGAGTTCCGAGGAGTACTGACCTCGGACCGGTTAGCGTGACCTGCCCGCCTGGAGCTGTAATTCGTCTGCCCTGGAGTTTCGAGCTCGACGAGTTTGGATTCCTGCAGAGGAAGCAATTTTCGTGGTCATAAATTATACTCCATGATCTATGGAGGACGACAAGGAACTACCCTCAGGTCGAGTTTAAGTGTCATCACCGGGTCACCGCTAAAGGTCAACAACGCAGAGCTGAAGCAGAGGAGAACGACTAGGAACAGCCAAGAACATTTTTATGGAGTCAGCGGCAGACGGATCCCCCGACTGACTTGGCTTGGTCGCTCGATTTTCAGCACCACCACCGGGTACCAGATCCGGTTTAAGACTACTCCGACGGTTCTGGCCGAATAAGGGTGGTGAGCCAGCGGATCACCCTACGCTGGTGGATCGAAATATTTTCGGCGCTACACGACAGGCGAACGATTTGTGAAAATCGGATGCTTTACAGTGGAAGGTGCATGAAGCTGGTTAACGAAAAAAAACGAATGATTTTTGCGACGACGATTGGACAGTACGCGGAGCTCAAGTCCGATACGATCGGATTTGTCGCTCATATCGACGAAGTTGCGAGCTTTTCGAACGAACGTGCGCGGTACTGTTGGTAGAACGACGAACGTGGGCGCTGGGTGAACAGAAGCTTATAAGGGTTTTATCATGAAGCGGCAGTTGAAGAAATTTGCAGCATTTGGAGCAGATTTTTTCAGAGACGATTTTTTCAGGGAGGGGAAGGAGAATCCCTTACGTAAGCTGCAAAGCAGATGCCCGCGAATTAGACTGATTAATTTGCCCAACTACGGTAGCGTTTGCGCTTACCTGAGTACGGGCACACGAAGGATTCACCCTTGCTCTGGAGTGTATTTATCAAATGGGGCTTCAAGAAGATAAGGGTTACTGTTGCAGTGGGACAAGCGTCTTGCCGTCACGGAAAATTTAGAATCGCGCAGGAGTCTTCAAGGATTATGCCTGAGTTGCGGGGCTATAATCGAAGATTCGGCTGCGATGAATCATTCGGGAATTTATCTAGACGGGCGCAATGATGGGTGAACGTCGGCGCGTCGCTAAGCGTCGGGTATTTTCCGGGTGGGAATTCTTAAAAAAATTGGTTGGAGCGGTAGCTGGGGTCACGGGTACCTACCGAGCTGTGCGATGGTTTAAATACCAGCATGGTTAGTCGGTGAAACTGCAGAAAATGCGCTTTTCGTAGCTGAGAACTGTACCCGAGTTTTTTCTGGGGTACCTGCCCTAGCCGCGCGATGGGTGAACGTCTGCACGGCGAAACGGTCAGGAGGAGTTTCGGAAATTACAATACGAAGCAGATCGACGGCATTCTGCGGAGGAGAATTATCATCTACGGCGTCGGACAGAGCTAGAGTCTACGTGGCGCAGCTGCCCTGCAATATAGGGTCGCGCCGAGACTGGTCCAGACGAGCAGAGGTTGAAGATACTTCAAAGATTCGAGTCTGAAGAAACTTGAAACAGGGTATTTTCGGCATCGACGAGAGAAGACTTTCTATTCATGGAGGAGGGGGAGAGAAGCTGCGCATCAGTTGTTTTGTGGAATTTCCCTCGACAACTGGCATCCGCTGCATGGGCATCGACGGACAGATGCTGTTTGACCGACTGAATCGATGGACAGATTCGAGTTGGCCTTTTCGGGAATTTCGCAGGAGTTTGCGAAGTTGAAGGCGTGTTTACATTGACTGCCTGAGGCGACATCGACTACGATTACTGGACTGATTGACCCTTCGTCTATGTGCTGATTGAATTCGCCGACTTTCGTGAGACGCGGACGCGTCAGGGCTGACATTTCAAAAAAAGGCACTCTGAGCCAACCCCCCCCAAAAAAAAAATAGTCTGAAGGGCCTTCAGCCGAAATTTTTGTAGTCTGAAATGTCAGGGTCCAGAACTCAGCGAGTCTGATTTTTTCAGGGTCCAGGACGTACAACCAGAGTCACACACGGGAAACACCCCCACAGCGAGAAACTTCCCTCCCTCCTACACCTCCCAAAAATTCGGCTAAGTCCCTTGCAGCCATAAAAAATCCTCCCACAGCCCGCGCCCCCCCCCAACCAGCAACCTTGTCATACCCTCGTTTTGCGTAGTTGTTAAATGTGGGAAACGGGGAAGTCATTCCTAAAAACCGAGGGGGTAAAATCGCACTGCCACGGAAAACGAAACTGAGGAGAGGGGGAATCGAAACTGACGGGGAAATGGGGAGGGAGTCAAAATGGAGGGGAGGGGGGAAGCGAAACGAAGGGGAGGGGGGGGAAGGGGGGGGGCGGTCGAAACGGAGAGGATGGGGGAAGCGAAATGGAGAGGAAGGGCGAAGTGATTGAAACAGAGGGGAGGGGGGGGAATCGAAACGGCAGGGAGGGGGGAAGCTGGGGAATAGGACGGTGGGAGAAATTTCGCGCCCTTGTAGCGCCCCGGTGGGGAAATCTTGGACGTTAATCACAACATAACATCGAACGATTGATATATGTCGAAACGATCGCAAACGATCGTGACCGTTACATTTTGGTAGACTTTCAGTTGACCAAACGGGCAACTGGCGAGAATTTCCCTATGTTAAAAATGCGGAATTTACTCTCATTCCAATGCAGTTAAAAAAAAATATGTAAAAGTCTCATTCAAAACTTCTGGGTTGTTCCAGGTGTTAGGGAGGACTGTATCTGACAACATGACTTAGTCGAAATTTAGGGTGGGTTGTGGGGTGTGTGGGGGATGTCTCTAGTGTTCCGGGACTTCGGCGAAATTTTAGATGGGTTGTGGGTGTGGGGTGGGGGTTGTCTCTAGGGTTCGGGGACTTGGCCAATTTTTTTTAGGGGTTGTGGGGTGTGTGGGGCATGTCTCTAGCGATTGGGGACTTCACCAAATTTTCCGAAGGTTGGTACTATACAGGTAATGAGTCAGGGTCTGTACGCGCTGTGCTATGAAAACTCAGTACTGGGTTAGCGACAACTCTGATTTTCTCAGGATCCCTAGAATCGTACTCTGAAGGGATCAGGATTGGGAAAATGCCTTATCTGGAAATTCAGGTTTGGCCAAAAAACAGGTCTGAGATTTCAGACTAATCAGAGTAAATAGTCTGATAAAGTCAGCCCTGGGACGCGTGTTCTCGCATGTGTCGCAACGCGAATGAATTCGCATTTGACGAATAGCCGGAGTTCGTTGGCTTTGCGAAATACGGACGCGCGTTTCTGCGATTGTTAGGACTCGTGTAATTAAACGAGGAGCTATCTACAGTAACGGGGCTACGGACAAGTTTGGCGCTATGGAGCAAATCCTGCTCGCCAACTTGCGGCAGTGTGAATAACGTAGTGTTATTGTGCGGATACAGTCCACGACGACGGGGTTTGTAATTCTCGGCGAAAGACTCGCTGGAGACAAGGAAGCTGTGGTGCGGTAGTTTTCCTATTGCCCGTTAGGTTTTCTGGGTAATTCGACCAAGATTCAACGGCTATGATCGACCGCGATCGTTTCGACGTAATTCGACCGTTGAATGGAGTCTCTTGAAGAAGCCTAGTGTCCTCACTACAACGAGATTCAGTTTGGTTTGTGTGCTTATCTAGAAGGGGGGAGAGTGTAAGGAATTTGTAATTCCTTACTGAGGCTTTCTACAGAGCGTACGACTCGAACAGTTCCGAACCAGCGATAGGGTTCCAGACCTTTCAGTTTGAGCCTCCCAGGCCTTTCCGGACCTTGCTACGACACATCGAGGCCCTTCGACACTTTCGCGAACCTTCCGATCCTACGTCCAGAATCGCCCTAGGTTTCCTATATATTGTTTTTTCTTTCAGTTTATTGTCATTCACTCGTTCACAGTTTCGCCATTGCCGTCCGCGCTACTCGGCAGTCCCATTCATAACACAATGCCATGTGCGATGACGTGGCAGGTTGGTTGTAAGGGGACAGGACGGGACAGGAGTCACGGGACGGCTAGCCCCGAAGGGGCAGGGTTGTTGAAATCAGGTACAGCGCAGAATTGGTACATTCCTCCAGAACAATCACAATTCACATATTGCACTCATTCCTTCAGAGCAAAATTCACCCTCAAAGGTCTCCCAATATTTGTGAGGGAGGGAGATAATCTCCTACGTAAAAGCTTGGTTGTATCTTGGAAAATGAGGCTACGATAGCTGGGATGGACGCGGATGGATCTTTGCTCCTCGTTTTAGGGTTCACTTTAGGAGCCAATGGATGGACCGACGCCTCAGTCAAGTCGTCGATTCCTTCCACTGGCCTGGGGATTCGGTATTTTCATAGGTGCGCTGGCAGCAAGCTGCTGCTGATTTGGTCATGATTCACCAACCGGCATTCGAGGAGGATGCGGCCTGTTTGGCTGTGAGCCTGGGAGGTGATGGCCACTTCACGTGCACTGCCGTGCCGTCACACGGTCACAGCGCAGCACCGACCCCCCCAAGCCAAACCAATGCCGCTCCGCAGGACCACGCACCAACCGACGCAGGTCCGGCTCGGCTCGGAATCAGCTCGTTTCCTGAAGGTCGGGAACCATGGAGTGCGGGTTCGTCGAGTGAAGGATGGTCCAGCCAGGCACCCTCGCGTTCTTCCCCTCCAATACCACCCCTTCCCTCCCCTCCTCCGTCGAATCCTCGCGTTCCTTTCGTTTGCTCATGCTGGTTCGGGCCAGCGACACTTGGGTGGGAGCCGGCGGGTTCCGCCATCAAAAAATGCCTCTGGAGCGGCGATCCCCCCCAGGGCATTCATTTAAGGCCAGGCGACCGTCCGCCGTCCGGCGGACCATCCGCCGAGTGCGGATCGTGTAAATATACTGTATGTTTCAGACGGGCGTCCAGACTCTGCTCGTACTGCCGTCCGTCCCAACGTTCGGAACGTTTCGGTCCTTCGGATCCGCGCTCATCACTCCCCTGATATCTGCGCTCACCACTCCCCTGATATTTACTACTAGATTCCCGTCCCCCGGCGCGAAACGTCTGAGCACCTTGCCGCACCTTACCGCACCTTGCCGCACCGTGCCGCACCTTGCCGCACCTTGCTTGAAGTAGTAGTAGTACCGCAGCTTACTTCTCCGCACTAGTTGTAGCCGCAGCCCTCGAGCGCAGTAGAGTCGGCAGACGGCCCCGAGTAAGGCGTCACGGATTACGAGACGCCTGCCGCTAGGCAGTCAAATCCCAAGGCGCGATTCCCAACTTTGGAGTCGGACTGCACGGACCTCAAAGGCCGTCCTCGGGGAAGCTCAAGAGTTCAATATACACGCTAAGAGGCGGCGTCTCGGCTCAGCCGTTCCGATTCGAATCCCTCTCACCGCCAAGATAGCGTCCGCTTGGGCGGCAACCCTAGGAACTGCTTACTACTAGGGTCGCTGGGAGGTGCTTCAAGGCCGCCATGCCGCGTTCGTCTGAAGCAATGGGCTCGAATTCTCCACCGCACAAGGCGTGGTCCCGAGAGGTGAGTGGCGAGGGGTGAGCGGCGAGGGGTGAGCGGCGACCAGAGCCGCAGAGCCCGTTCAGTTTATCTCAGTACGTTGCTTGAATCCCCTCTGCACCCCCTTCGCTCTGGCGTCTCAAGCGTGAGGCGACTCATTGTCTCGTTTCTGCCTCCGCCGTTCCGCAGGAGGACGCGGTTCTGCCGCGCCCCCAGCTTCAAGACGGTTGTCTTTGCACTCGTGTGATTCTTTCTCATCGTTGCCTCCCACTCACTCCCTCACTCACTCACGGCAGGAGGACGCGGTTCTGCTGCGCCATGCGCTTCATTGCGGCACAAGGCGGTGGGAAGCGCTGGGAAGGAGCGGTTGTCTGAAGAGAAACAACAAGTCGTGCTGTAACCGCTACATCTTCCTCAGAAGGTAACCTCTCACACACTGCATCGATTTCAGAGATCTGTCTTCTTTAAAGGATGTGCCTTTGCTGAGCGTCCTTTTGCTGTGCGCCCTTGCACTGGGTGCAGGAAGTTCCTTGGCCGCTTTCAACAGCACCTCTGGAGGGAACACTTGCACGCCGGCGCACCCCCCTGCCGCATTCCCATGGCTCAGATTCCGCCCCTATATCATGGCCAGCAGCAGCAGCAGCAGCAGCAGCCAGCTAGGCCGTCTGAGTCACCTCCACAAGCGCTTGCATTCGGTGGGCTGTCACTTGATGAGTGCTGGAGCGTCTTCCTCTCACCCAATTCCCGCCAAGCAGCAGCCCAAGCCGACCTCTCGTCTGCCTTCGCCTCTGCCGCTGCCTCCCACGCCGTTGCCTCCCATGCCACTGCCTCCCATGCCGCTGCCTCCTTTACTGCTCCTCTCTCCACTGCTGCTGGAACCAGCGCTGCAGTCCTGGACGCCACCGCTGCCTTCTATGAGGTGATGAGCGCAGCTATGAGCGCCGACCCTGCTGCCTCCGATGCCGCTGCAGTGATGAGTGCAGCGACCGGCCCCAGCTCAGCTGCCATCGACGTGCCCAAGAAGCGCGCAAGGGAGGTCTGCAGCACGGCGCTTGGGGCTGACACACCAGTGCAGGACGGAGCTGAGAATGGGGTGGCGTGTGGGGGGGCGCGGCACTCGCGGTCCTTGGAAGAGCTCTGTGCGCTGCAGGGGGCGGGAAGAGGGGGGAGCGGGGGGCAGACAGCGGGGTGGGGGCGCGTGGAGTCAGAGAGCGCCCTGCTGGATGATCCGCTGCTCGATGACCCGCTGCTCGATGACCCTCTGCTGGGATTCAGCCGCGACGACCCTGCATTCAGCTGCGAGGACCCTAGCTTCAGCGTGCCACCTGCAGCACTGTCAGCACCGCTGTCCACCCAACTTGCTATGCTGGCCGGCTGTGGTCCCGGGAAGGTGAGGAGGTGCAACGCAGGGACTGCCCTCACCAATGCTTGTGATGGAGGGCAGGAGCTGACCCCGTCGATTGACACGTGCACCGAGGTGCAACGCAATGAGTCTCTCTTTCTCGACACGTGCCACTTGGTGCACGAAGTCCCTCTCCTGATGCAAGAAGCCCAGCCAGACCAGGGCTCTCTTCCGCTTCCCACGTCCCCACCTCACCTGTGGCTGCCTGGTTCCTTCCCTGCCGCCCGCCTGCCCGTGCCGCCTCTGCCATCCGCCTTCACCCCCTGTGCTCCCTCCCACCCGCCCTTGGTGAGTGAGCCTGAGGGACGGGCGCTGACAGTCCCAGCTGCTGGGGCAACCATGGCAGAGTGGGCGCTGGAGCAGCGAGGGACCGGGGAGGGAGTTGCTGAATCGCACTGCCACTATCAGCAGCAGCAGCAGCAGCAGCAGCAGCAGCAGCAGTTCCCAGACCTTCACGTGTGTGCATGCATGTACTCGTGTTCATTGCACCAGCCCCTGTCACAGCCTCGACCACACGTACCGCCACAGCCACTTCAAGAACCACTACCACACCCACTGTCACACCCACCGCCGCAGCCAGTGCCGCATGCTCTTCTGCAGCCTCTCCATTCCCAGCAGCCAGTGCAAAAGGATTGTGCAATCACCCCTCAAGGTGCCATGCGAATAATTGCGAACCCAAGGGGTTCGCGCATGCGCACGCTCATGCCGCGCCTGCTGCCGCGCTCACTGCAGCAATCTTCGCCACACTCCCTGCCAGGTACTTCGCTGCTGCAGGGGGGCTTAATCCATATACCTGGGGAGTTCAGTTATCGTGGCGGTGCTTCCGTACCTCGGATGCAGGATACTGTGGAAGCTCACATGGCTTCCGAATATTGACGAACCACTACTTTAATTCATACGAAGGTTCCACAACAAGTGTAATTGAAGTTAGGGGGCCAACCACTTCGAGGCCCATGATTGGTTGGGGGGTTGACATGCCAGACAGTGGCAATCAGCTGAGGAGGGTATGCAGCTTCACTAGTACATGCGCATCCCCTCTTTATACTCCCACCCAACCCAACGTGTCTTTTCTCAAAACTCTTGTACTCATTCTGGCTAGGTTTTGTAATGTGTTTGACCAAGATGCCCTTGACTTGATAGAGGAAGGCTTATGTAAGGAAATGTAATATAGTGTATGTACAGAACATGTTGTCAAACATATATTGTTATGTTTGTATAGAATGTATAGGTTTGTGTCTTAGAGGGTACAGCTTCTAGGTTATATTCCCTTGTACCCTCCCATTCTAATCATTCTCTCATTCTGATATGGTATCATGAGTAGGTTAGGTCCAGCGAGCCCGCCCGCGCTTCCGCCCTAGGCCCTAGTCGCCCTCGTGCCCGTTCCTAGCCGGCCCCTTGCGCCCCTAGCGCCGTCGCGCCCGCCCTAGCCGACCCCCCCCCTGAGCCGTCGCGCCTGTCCTAGCTGGCCCCCTGAGCCGTCGCGCCCGTTCTAGCCGGCCCCCTGCGCCGTCGCGCCCGTCCTAGCCGGCCCCTCGTGCCGTCGCGCCCGTCCTAGCCGGCCCCCTGAGCCGTCGCGCCCGTCCTAGCCAGCCCCCTGAGCTGTCGCGCCCGTCCTAGCCGGCCCCTCGCGCCGTCGCGCCCGTTCCTAGCCGGCCCCCTGAGCCGTCGCGCCCGCTCTAGCCGGCCCCCTTAGCCGTCGCGCCCGTCCTAGCCGGCCCCCTGAGCCATCGCGCTCGTCCTAGCCGCCCCCCTGAGCCGTCGCGCCCGTCCTAGCCGGCCCCCCGAGCCATCGCGCCTGCCCTAGCCGGCACTCTGAGCCGTCGCGCCCGTCCTAACCGGTCTCTAGCGCCTGTCGCGCTAGGGCCTAGCCGGCCCCTCGTGCCTGTCGCGCCCGTCCTAGCCGGCCCCTCGTGTCGTCGCACCCGCTCCTAGCCGGCCCCTCGCGCCCCTACGCGCCCGTTCCTAACCGGCCCCTAGTGCCCGTCGCGCCCATTTCCTACCCGGCCCCTCGCGCCCCCCTCGCGCCCGCCCCTCGTCGGCCCCGCGCCCTCTCCTAGCCGGCCCCGAGTTCGTTTCGCTGCCGGCCCACCTCCGACTCGTGCCCAGCCCGTCCTTCCCGACCTGCACTGCACGGCATTGCCCGACACCGCTCTACACCGCACAGCTCCGCCTTGCACCGCACTGTACCGCTCTGCACCACACAGCACCGCACTGCACCGCTCTGTACCGTTCCTGATGGCGGACATGCTTCGCTTCGACGCTGAGGGTCAGCCGCTTGAGTTTGACTCGTGGCTGGTCGACCTCCGCCGCCATCTCACTGGTCAGCGGCAGGATGGCCACTCGCTGTCTGTCCACCTTGACGATACGCTCCCTTGCCCTGACCCCCCTGCTGCGCCGCTCGCTGACCCCTCGTCTGCTGAGCGTGAGTCCGCTGCAGCTGCTGCCCTTGCTCGCTCCGTCTGGCTGTCGCGTGACGCCGTTGCGCAGCTTGCTATCAGCCATGCCCTCCCCCTGACTGAGCGCCCTTGCTTTAGGTCCGTCACTACTATGCAGGAGTTCCTCGATGCTGTTGTCCAGCACTATTCCACCCTGTCCGCTGCCTCAGTAGGTCGCCTGATCCTGCCGATGCTCTTCCCTGACCTTGCGTCGTTCCCCACTATCGCTGACCTGACCGCTCACCTGCGCACGATAGACGCGATCTGGCGCTCTGCCTGCACTGAGACCCAGCTTAGAGCCCATCAGCCGCCCCTCTGCTCTGCCCTCTACCCGCTGTCCACCCGCCTCCCTGACCGTCTTGCCACTGCCCGCGACCGCTTCCTTAGCGTCCACAACGGTGACCTCACCCTCACCGACTTTGTTGACACCCTGTCTGCCATAGAGACCCGCCACCGCACTATCGCCCAGACCAGCGGTACTGTTCCGGTCCCTATCTTTCAGGGTTGTGCCCCCGCTCAGTGCACCTTCTCTGACGGTTCCGCTGCTGTGGCTGAGACTGCAGCTGCAGCGCAGTTCCGTCCGGGGAAGGGCCGCCGCCCCAAGGCTGGGTGTGGCGGAGGGGGTGGGGGTGCAGGTGGAGGTGGTGGTGGAGTCGGGTCACCTGGTGGTGGCGCGGACGAGGGGACAGTCCCTCGTGCAGCCGAGCAGCCGTCCCAGCAGCCGCACCCATTGCAGCCAGACCAGCACCACCTACCGCAGCAGCCCTAGCACCAGCCGCAGCAATCACAGCAGCCGCAGCAGCAGAGGCGGGCGAGTGGTCTCCCGCTCGGGTGGCCTGGCGCTGGAGCGGCGGTGGGCGTGGTGGTGGCCGTGCACGTGGCGTGCCTCCGGGTGGCAGTTCGGGTGACGGGCGCTGCCAGTACCAGCTCCAGACCGGTCCTTGCCGCAGCTCCGTTTGTGGTAAGATTGGTCACTCCCCTGTCCGTTGCTTCCGTCGCCTTGACGACCTGTTTCGTCTTCGCTTTGGCCCGTCGCCCGACCTCCCCGACCGGTATAGCTTGCTTCGTCGTAGTATTCCGATCTTTGATATGGACATGGATGAGCTTAGCTCTGCTCTGTATGTGCTGTATGCTGATGACTCTAGTGTGACTGGTTCTTACTACCACGTGTTGCCTAGTGTAGGTGTGCCTAGTCTTGCCTTCCCTGCTGCGTCAGGCGTAGGACCTCCCGCCTTGTTTAGCCTCGGTTCCTCCGTCGCTGCTCCGACTCCGGCTGCCACTGCTGCGCTCTCCTTCACCCTGGACTCTGGCGCTTCCCGGTGCTTCTTCCGAGACTCCCCGCAGCAGGATGGGGTCGCTGAGCGACGCATCGGTTTGGTCATGGAGGTGGCTCGTACCTCCATGATCCACGCCGATGCACCCCATTTTCCGTGGCCGTTCGCGGTTTGCTATGCCGCTCACCAGCTTAACCTGTGGCCGCACCCTCAGCAGTCGCAGGTTTCGCTGACCCTTCTTTGGACCAGGTCTCCTAGTGACGCGTCTGTGTTCCACGTCTGGGGCTGCCTTGCTCACGTTCGTGCCTCTGGCACGGACAAGCTCACTGCCTGCACAGTCCCCTGTGTCTTCCCTGGTTTCCCCTTTGACTCGTCTGACTGGCACTTCTACCACCCACCGTCCCACAGTTTCTTTCACTTCTGTGACGTCACCTTTGACGAGTCCGTTTCCTTCTACCACCGCTCTCCCCACCGTGGTCCCCCGGTTACGCCCCACATGTTCCTGGTTCCCCCGTCCCTGGTCGCACCTGCCCCTCCCCCTCCCCGTCCTGCCTTGTCTAGTGTGTCTCACGTTACCCCCCTCCCGTCGGTTGTCCCGGTTGAGGAATCTGCTGACTTTGGTGGTCCTGCGGCGCAGTCCTTGCCATCTGCTCCTCCCCCGGTGTCTCCTCCTCCGCCGCCTCCGCAGCCGTTGTCGCAGCCGCCGCGGCCGCCGTTGCAGCCGTTGTCGCCGCTGCTATTGCTGCAGCCGTTCGTCGCCTCTGGGGGGTCTGGAGTTGGGGGTGGTACCAGTGCGGGAGGCGTTTCGAGCTCTGGGGATGTTCCTTCTAGGGGTGCAGGAGTGGAGTGTTCCGGAGGTAGCCGTGGAGTAGCTTGCGGCCCCGGTGTCGGTGTTGTGCCCCCACAGCCGCAGCCGCCGGTGAGCGCCCTTCGCCTGCTCGGCCTTCCGTCCCTTCACCTTGCGTCTCTTCCTCTCCTGCCGTCCCTTTCCCTACCTGCCTACGGCCTTGTGTTCCCTCCCCCGGACTCGTCTCCGGCTCGTCTCCCCCCTTGTTCCCCTCTCGTGTCTCCTCCTCTGTCTCCTGACCCGACGCCTCCGTCTCACGTCTGGTCTCGCCGTCCCTCCAGTGCTCGCCCAATCTCCCCTGTCCCGCGCTCTCACCCTATGTTGCTGCGTTCCTACGCGTCTCGTCCTCCCCTCCTGCCGTCGCCTCCTCCGTCCTCCCTTGTTATTGCGCCTCCCCCCCTGCCTGACTACCTTCGTGCCGCTCGTCCTCTTCTTCCTCGGGTCCTTGCCTCTCTCGTTACCGACCCGTCTGTTGCGGTTTTGCGTCTTGACGCGCTTGTCGCTGTAGTCGCCTCTACCCGCCGCCTTGACTGCGCCACTGCTCCGGTCTCTCACCCTGCTTGTCCTCCGTCTGTCGGGGGTGCTCCTGCCCTCGGCAGTGACGTCCTGGAGGACCGCCAGTACGAGCTTGCTTTCCTGTCCGAGGCTGCTCCCCATCTCTGTCCCATGCTGCTAGTCCCTGAGTGTGAGAGTATGACCCCCTTCCATTCCATTCTCCTTTCCATTTCATTCCTCTTTTTTATCTTGATTCATTTGGGCTTTCTCTCATTCCATTTGGATTCCTATTCCTTCTTTTCCATAAACGTTTGGTTTATCCTGTTATTATCATTATATCACCGACCACGCTCGGGATGTACTGGTACGCTATATCTAGCGTAATCCTGCCGTAATCCCTTAAAGCCAATAGCCTCGCGTGGCTATACGCAGGGGCGAACGTAGTCGATGGTCGCTGGCTCTTCAAGGTGAAGCGCCCTCCTCGAGAGCCGCCTGTGTTCAAGGTGCGCTACGTGGCTAGAGGCTTCAGTCAGCGTGAGGGGGTGGACTTCTTTCAGACCTTCGCTCCGACCCCGAAGATGACTACTCTTCGGGTGCTGCTATACGAAGCAGCACAGCGTGACTACGAGCTTCACTCCCTCGACTTCTCCACTGCGTTTCTTCAGGGCAGTCTACACGAGTAGGTCTACCTGCGCCGCCCTCAGGGTTTCACTGGTACCTTCCCTCCTGGGACCTAGTGGCTCCTGCGGCGCCCCGTCTACGGCCAGCGACAGGCTCCCCGTGAGTGGCACGACATGCTGCATGCTACGCTTGTTGACCTGCAGTTCTTTCCGTCCTCTGCACACCCCTCGCTCTTTGTTCGTGGTGGCCAGACAGCGTTCTACATCTTTGTTTACGTAGATGACCTGGTCTTCGCCACTGCAGACAGGGACGCACTGGCCTTGGTGAAGGCAGAGCTGCTGAAGGGACACACGTGCACTGACCTTGGAGAAATGCGCCAGTTCCTGAGGAGTCTATAGAGCTGGTGGGTTGCCTCATGTACCTGATGACTTGCACTCGCCCAGATCTCGCATACCCTCTCAGCATCTTGGCTCACTTTGTGGCCACAGGCAGACACCGACCTCAGCACTGGT